AGTGTATGAGTTGATAGAAAATGTTTTGAAAGAATGATGCCTGTCATCTTTATTTACACTCAGTTTTATTCTTTTATTCACACTTTTATTCTTTTATTCACACTCAGTTTATTCTGGCTGGATAGGTGATAATTGAGAACTAGGAAGACGAATATCTTATTGCTATCTTTCCTTCTCTTCTTCTTTCTACATGACTGTCTTTCATCCACTTTTCCTTTTTTTTTACCCCTTTTTTACATCCATTCATCCAAGATAAGAAGCATACAAATAGTACACAAGTGCATGTGTAGCCATAAATCCACCTCATGCTCTCCAGCATATCTTCCATACGCTACATGTAAGTAAGTAAAGAACTACATATCTCGAAACTTTATATGAAAAAATAAACGTCAGTTGAACACAAAAATTAATGACACTTCTGCTTTATTGCTATTACAAGAATAACAGGAAAAACTGATAAATGTAGTATTGTTTATATCCCTTCCCAACTAGATTAGCCACTTGGAATAGCTGTATTGTCCCACTGATTCATTACGTACAAGATAACAATTACCATGACAACCAAAACCCATAAATGTCCTTGCAAACAATAGTACTATCTATAGAGTGTTTTCACAACAGATATGTTTAAGGGCAGCAGCAATGCAATGTTTTTGCAAGAGAGTTCATTTTCCCCCAAAAGAAAACATTTCTATAGTTTTTCCAATATAACTGTATCAATGCCAATGTGTACGAGCACGAATCTCTAGCACTCTAGCAACTCTATAAAATGACCAATATTTATTTGCATTACATTATACAGCGAAAGGAGACATACCACGTATTAGGTTAGAGTCCCTATCTAGAATATTTTCTAAGACTGAATTGGAATTTAAAAGTTGATTTTTTTGCAGAGGGAGAAAAACTGGAGGAAAACCCTCAAAGCAAAGGAGAGAACCAGCAAACAACACTTCTGATATACGACACAAAGACCAGCAGGACTTGAACCTGGGTTGCAATGGTGAAAGGTGACGCATTAATCACCTGTGCTTATACCTCAAGCATTTGATAAAGCATGGTGTTTGATAAAACATGGTGAATAAATAAGTAAAAGTTATGACAGATTTTTGGGCGGCGACAACAAGCCTAGCAGAACTCAAACCTGGGTTCATTAGTGAAAGGTAACTTATTAACAACCTGTGCTTATACTGCCCCAAGAGTTTGATAAAATATGGTGACTAAGAAAGTAAAAGTTATGATCGATTTTTGGGTGACATGCTTTRATGCAGGTGTTAACAAATCAGTCAAGTACTCTCAAATGTGTTGTGATTAATTGGTCACGCTTCATGTCATAACACTGAACAGTGATTCTTGAACTACTTTGAAATGAATAAAAGAAAATATCTCTTACAGTCAAGTATAATTAATTAAGTGTAGTGGCATCCATGAAACTTTTTGGGGGGGAAGGGATTAGGTAGAGGAAGAGATGGGAGACGAGAGGGCTGGAAAAATTAGGAGTTAGATGACCGCTGACTGTGCAAAACAAATCCAAAGGTGCTTCATAGGAAATACTTAAAATTTGGTTTCCAGAAATGYTATTTAGTGTGTTCTAAAGATATTTTGGACTCAAAAAATGTATAGGAAAGAAATATATATTTAAAAAACCCAAACTAAAAGGGGATGGCTGCAACCCCATTGTCTTTTCCCTTCCCCAGTCCAACTATGAAAGGCATACAATACACTACAATACAATAAACTTTGTTTAAGGAGGGTGACACAATTGACCCAGAGAGTTATCTAACACGTGGCCCTCACATGCATGTGCACATACATCTACGACACCTTACACAAAACAAAAAATACAGTATATAAATATATTAATGTCAAAAGATTTTTCAATCCTCAATAGAATGGGATTATTTTGTTTTGACCTCCATATTAAGAGCATATAAATTTTTATACTTAATATATAATTTTGAATACCTCACTCTGTAGATTTTTGATATGGAGATCTTTAGCTTGTAGAGAAGACTGAAGGACACTGATGTGTTGTTGTTGATCTGAATGATGGGCCTTAAAGGTTTCTAGTTTGGTATCAGCAGCTGATAAGGCTGCCTCTTTCTTTGATATTTCTGCCTTTAGAGATTCCACCTAATATCAGATGAGAAAAGTGTGACAGTATGTTAGAGTAAACTACAATAAGCTAATGAATAAGCTAGAAAAGATTTTGCATGATTACAATTTATCAGTCGGAAGATGCACCAATGCGTTCTGCTCTGAACCAATCAGAGATCAAGAAGACTGTTGATACATATTAATGCATTTCAAAAAATATATAACTGGAAAATATATCAAATTGAGCTGATCGTTGCAGTATATCAAGCAACTTATTCAACTGCAAATATAAAGACTCAGAAAAAATCAGAGTCTTGAACAGGATTTGAACCCATGCCCTGACAATTCCGGTGCCATGCTCTAACCACTGAACTACCAAGTCTCATATGAGACATAAGGACAATTATGTGGGTTTATCGTATAATTGGAAAAATGAGTTAAGAGACAAAAAAATTGGAYTCTTTTAAACATGCAACTTTGGTGAATGGCATAAAATTTATTTCCCAAATATTAGCCTGAGTTTTAAAATGTTTTTAGAAGACAATTAAAAGTCTAGGCCTGCATTTACCCTTCTTTCCCACACTAAAATAAGCATAATCAAGATATCTAACCTTAGCTTTCAAGAATTGTGAATGACTTTGGTAAACCTCTGCTTGCTTTCTTTCCTCTTGTTTCTTGGTGTCCTCTTCATCTTTGGATGATTTCTATGCAAAGTTTTAATRTTAAGTAGTAAATTAATGAGAAGTCAAATCTAAATACTTGGTAGAGTGTTAAAGTGATCATGTGTGATAAGCAACACAGTAATGATTCCAGTTATGTAGGAATTAACCGGAAGTGGCCAGGATTCTTTTTTCGAGAATATCAGACTACATCATTCCACACACTTTTGTTCAGCACTAAGGAAACAATCATTTATTACTTCATGGGGGGGGGGGGGGGGTTTTAGGGAATGAAATGGCTTTTTTGGGGGGTTGGTTTTTTTTCAAAAATTTCCCCCCCCCCCCCCCCCCCACAACATAATGAAGGGTTGGTCGTCCGCAATAATATGACATAAAACTTACTTCTTCCTTTAGCGATGCTATTTGAGCCTCTAAATCTGCAATTTGACTATCCTGTAAAACAAAAACAACAAAGAATAAGATGTCTTGAAATAATAAAAAAATCATCTGCTAATCATTCGTGACCTGAATAACAAATGATAGAGAATGGCTCCCCTGTTGTAGCTATTAACTACCACCTACTATCAGCAATACTATACCGTATGCTGACATAATTATTGGTCTAAAAATATACTATCAGTAATATGGGCTGTTAAAAAAACCTGACAAAATCTTGATAAAAATACTGAATTGAAATATAGTGAATAAATTTAACTCTATATTTATAATATGATTTACCTTATCAAGTAGATTAGCTGATTGTTGCAGTTCTTCGCTCACATTCCTGATTTTTGCATTTGCTATTTCCTTTGAAAATAAAAATTTGAATTAGTATTAAAATGCATAAAATTAATTAATTAAGCTATGAAATTTCCCACTTTGTTTCATGCTGTGTTTAAGATTGCTTAATAAAACTATTCTCAGCTGCAAAGAGAGAATTATAACTAATGAGGCATAATAACTAGACATTATTCCAGTCATCTATGACTATTCAAACATAAATTAATGAATTTTCTTGAGGAACTTTATGTTTTAAGGTTATATTGTTACGAGATATTTGAAATGCTTTAATTATGTTCTGATTGTCTTTCTTGACAAATTGTAGATGTCGGGATTTTTGGCTGCTGTCAATCAAAAATTGTAATATTGTAGATTGCAATATTAGAGTTTAGAATTTGATAGATGCAAACTAAGATACAAGAATATGTGCCATATCTGGAGTCATATGGATGGTAAAAAAATCTGAAGGGTCTGATACAATAGTGTAATGTGTAAAGTTACACAGAAGTGGATTATAAGGTAGCATTCATGTAGATGACCACTAGGTTGAAAGATCAACAATGGTAAATTTTAAATTTAGGGTTGAAGTTACATTTAAAATATTACAAATGATTATAAGGTTGTTGAAAGAAGACTCTGAAATGCTGCCAAATAGCAATGGAAATAACTTGAAAAGCTTTTGAAAGATCTTGAAAAGTTCAGCTTTTAAAGCATGTTTTATCAGAGTATGATACTGTATTTTAGAGTGTTAAACGTTAAACATTTAAATGTTTTTTGAATATTATTCATACTTACATCTTGTAGTGAGCTTATGGCTCTGTCCCTTTCTTCAATCCCAGACTTCAAATTATCAATCTCAAAGCTAAGTTTTTCAAATTTCTTTCTATCAATCTCCTGCAGTTCTGCGGCTTTGTTTTCTTGACCTTTCTTCTGTAACATCTCCATTAGCCTGGCTATAGTTTCATCCTTAGCTAGCAAGGCCTGCTGTTGGGTTTCTAACCTAGTACTTAGTTCTTCAAGAGATTTCTGCAGCACGTAGCCTTCGTTTTCTTGACTCTCACGTTCAAGTCTCAGCGCTTCTACTTCTCTATGCAAGTCTTCTCGTGATGATAGCAATCCTGGTGATGATGATGGAGAAACTGTCCCTGAGTTGCCATGGTTACCAGATTGACGTAATCGTTTCAGTTGCTCTTGAAGGTCTTGTATGATTTCAGTTCTGTGCTGTTTATCACGAAAATAACCAATAATGTTGAGACTACATATATTTGCAAGACATAATAAATAATTTAACCGAAGATCTAAAAATAATCCTAACATAACAAAAAATACAGATGAATGAAAGTTGCAATAGTTTTCTTACTAAGTAAATTACATRTTAATATGCTTGATCATGGCTCTAAAGTGAGCTTACTTGTCAGTAACGATAAAATCTGCATATTTTTTTGAGTTCTTTATCATACTCCTAAGTTATAAAAAAATGCTCGAAGATGTGAAATGGAAGGAATTCTAATACAAAAAAAGAGCAAGTACTGTAATAGTTTCCTGATTAAAACTAATAAATCATTTGAGGAGAAATGTCAATCTGTTCCTCTTCCTTGACAACCCTACAGCATTACAGTTATTGATAAAATCAATGTTTTGTTAAATTTTTGCCTTACACATGCTTAGGAGAACCTATATAAATGTTATCCTGCTTATTAATGAGACTAACCTTTTACCCACATAACTTTCATTTAAAGTCGTCATAATCTTAGTGAAGGATTAATTGGCTTTAAATATTTATGCATATTACTTGTACAAGGGGATTAATATTTCTATGAAACAATACCACAGATATGTATTATAGAGTTAATGCAACTTTCATAAACATGCGAACTCTGTATCTGCGAGCTGCATGCCAAAATTTGGTTTTTCACTGCTGTCAATCAAACCTAATCAGTCAGTACATTTCATATTTTTGACTGACGGCAGCGAAAAACCAAATTTCAGCATGCAACTCATAGACATAGAGATTGCATGTTTATGAAAAATTCCAGTAATAGGAAGTCAGCTTATCTGTCAGGGGTTTAATACAAAATGTTCATTCTGAATGTGGTCGAATAACTTTCATTACAGTGTTAGCAATTGCTTCATAATGATGAAAACATTTCACATCTTGTACTATCTTCACATAGCAATCTACTAGTAGCATGATTAGCAACCACAGAAATAATAACTATAATAATTCATTATTTACGGTATGGTAGGTGTGTGGCTACATGTTTTTGAGGTTTTGAGGTCTCCTAAACATTTATTAGGTGATTAAACATTGTATTATGTTTTGTTTTTTTTTATTTTTTGCTCTAGAAACTAAAAGTAAAGAATTTCAGGATTGAACTGAATAAACAAATCATCAATTGGTAATCCTCGTGAAACAATGTGAGAAGCACTTGAATACTCGCAATACCTCGAACAAGGTTTATTTTACACCAATATCTGTCTAGTTATTCTTGATGAGGGTAATAAATGCCTGACCTCTTATGCAAATCCAAAACAATTCTACTTTTGAATTTTTCTAAACTTGCACTACACTAGCTAACGAGACCTTAGAGGTTAACCTTCAGCTTATCTCAAAAACATTGATAAACATCAAGCCAAGMAAAAAAACAATCGGAAAGCTTTTGGAGTTATTAAGCATAAGGGAGTGTAAGTAAGCTTACGTAATACGATACTTATAATAAATGTAGGTTTAAAAAAAAACACGTACAGTGTATTGAACGATCCTGTTCTGTAGATTAATTTGTTTTAGTGTTGACAATAACACTTCAACAATGGAAAATAATGAATCATTCTATCCCTCATTAAACCCCTATGACGAATACTTAAAATTCAAATGCTTAAAAACAATTTGAAGAAAGAAATGGTTGTTATCTTACCTGCGATTCGTCGGAAACAACGTTAAATTGCTCCTTCAAACGAGTGTATTTTTCTGCTTCACTCTTCCTTGCAGCTCTCTCTTTCTTCAGTTCCGGGCTCCAAAACATCTTAATGCTTCGCATACTGGAGTTAAGCTTCGTTTCCTTAGCCTCAATTTCCTTTTTGAGACGAGCATTCTCGTTTTGTGCCTCAATCAGTTGAGTATGCAGATCTAACGAAGATGAGCTGTATCCTGTTGGGCTCAACGAGCTTGGCGAGCTCGTGTTTGTATCTGAATTATACGAATACATTGTTCTTTTTTGCTGTCACGCTTTCTTTCACTTACTCAGAGATCGAAAATAAATTATCCAAAGCTTGTTTGAAAATTCAGTATCCTTCTGTGACTACCGTCACGAAGATAATTCAATTAGTCTACGCCATAACTCGAGCGAACAAGACTCTCTAACACTTGAAATTTTAGAACAAGACGAATCAACTTGGCGCTATTTAAAAGTATCTTCTTTTTCTTCAGAACGACTCCTGGCTAAAATTAAACGTTGGATTACATTGACAGTCGTTTTCGAGCTGTCATAGAGCCTAACTTTGATTTTAAAAGGTAGTTTGAAGGAGTTTAAAAGACGAAAATTCTTGTTCAAAGTTGGCCTGCAAATGAGCAAGTCGGGTGTTCGTCTCAGTTGCTACAAGAAACAGCTTGATATTCAAACATCCATACCACGTTGTCTTATCTTATCATTCTTTCTTTAGACGTATCAGCAGTAGAAGTACCCGGTAACCTTCCTGGTTGTGTCTGTGGTCTTGTATTTTGCTATCAATAGCAGTGTTTTTTTAGTCAACTCTCCATCTTCTTACTTGCTCTTCTTGTGAAATCTTTTCGACTCAAATAACCATCCTGAGCCTTTAGACAATCTGGTCAGCGGGTCTCTCTAAAAAAATGAAACTTTCTTCCAACTTTCATTTATTTTTCGTTCTCATTTATTTCAACTTTCTTTCGTTGTTTTATACATGTGATATCTACAAAATTAATCACATCACTGAATACGTGCGAACTGTGGAGAGTTATTTATATCTAGTTTTAATGATGTTTATCAAAGTCGTAGAAAAAACAGGAACTTGAAGCGGAAATGACAGTTTTTTGCCGAGGAAATACTTTTCTTGGTTTGTTCGTCATCAAAAGGGGAAAATATTTAGAATGTAAGGGTCGCTTTGTGTTTGGTTGTGAGCGGCAACAATAAGGGAATATCAATGTGGTCAAAGAATGAGAGAAATTCGTAATAATTTCCGTCTTATTGTATTGCCCAGTTTGAGGGAAAAAATGCTAATAAAGAACGACGAATTCATGATCTTTTTAACATATTTATTACACAAGCGATAATACAAACCACCTCACTTACTTCACTAGTATAAATTCATAGATATAAACGCCATAAAACATTCACAACTGATTCACACCACTATAATTCTATTATCTTACACTGATGATGGATAGCAAAGCTATTTCCCATTGTATTTCAATAAATAATTTTAAATTTTCATATAGAGTTTAAATAGTCAGAATATAGCTTGCAGGGCTGTAGCAAACTAGTTAATTCTTTTTACGTCAAGCCTCACCCTCACACAAAACCTACCTATTTATTGCTTCATTAATTGATTAAATTTTCAATTTCGTGATTATTGTCAGAAATTTTCCTAGACAAACTGACCACTGCCAGGTAATAACGTGTTTCAATCGCCCAGTCTCCTTTGAATATTTCGGTTTGTCCCTCAGTTATAAACCAGATGAAGGACTCGGTAAATTTATGATTGCTCATTATTTCGAAGAGAGGAGGTTTTCGATTTACTTTTAAACCTTAAAATCAAGAGGATCGTCTATTGATGAGGCAGGAGGCGGAGGAAGGGTGGGCGTGTCGTCCAGATCGAAGCACGTAAGTGTTTGGTAATGACTTGGGCCGCCAGTATCACGTGGTTGTCTTCTTAATTTCTCGTGTCGTAATCTGAAAAATGTCACGCAAGAATAAAAAAATGTGAGGGTAAGGTATTAATAAGTATGAAGTATTAATTTTAGAGTTAGGACTATTTTCGCATTTGTGAGAAACATACAATRCTGACTTAGAGCACGTAAAAGGTACGACATGCTTTCCCATTGTCTTCCAGCAATTAATCTAATCAGCTCGTAGTCACGGCTACGGTAAGATAATAGTACGGCTAAATAAGCCTTTTCATAGTTTAAGAATCGATTCCACTGCGCATGCGATTTTATTCCGAATTTCTCACCTTCTTTTGTCTAAACCTTCTTTTGTTCTTAATTAAACGAAAGGTGAGAAATTCGGGATAAAATCGCATGCGCAGTGGAATCRATTCTTAAACTATGAAAAGGCTTATTACGGGTATAGACATGCCGTATATTTTAACAATCATACGAAACCCCCACTATGCCTTCCTTCAAAGTTACGGTGGTTTGAAAGACTGAAGGAAAGTCCACAGATAAACTGTCCTCTTTCCCCGTCACGCATGTGTAATGTTTCAAGCAACCTCCCGACCCTAGCAACACAAGTGGTCTACCTCTTTCCCATCCCAGTGGTCCACGGTCTTTTCTTCAGTTCGTTGGCAATTTCTTGATCATTGATACTAAAAAGTCAAAATAGCCAGTTCAAATATAATATGGCATACATATTTGTAATAAAAAGTGAACGTGGGATTTAAAGACTAGTAGCCTACTTACATCAGAGAATCTTTAAACCGACTTGATGGAGCAGATGGAATTTCCTAGAAAAGGAAAATATGGGGTTTCAGATATTTGAATATAACACCATCACGACATTGTCCGCTGCCGTTACATCAATATAATGAATCATAAACCTCATCAATATCATCATCATCATCAAGATCATCGTAATCGTCATCATTATTATCATCATCATCACTATTATTATCACCATCATCACCATCGCCATCATCTACATTATCATCATCATTAATATCATCTTCATCATCATCATCTATATGATCGTCATCATCAACATCATACGACAAACAACATCGACATCAACACCAAGTAACAATCGAACCATTACCATTATCATTATCCAGCATCACCGCCAACACTACCCAGTGTTCGTGCCGTGGTAACGACTTAAAACAGGGACTATTCAAGGAGTATACAAGGACCCAAAAATGAATTTTCAAGGAGTATGTTCAGCTAACTATGCCAAGGTTTTACACAGTGGTTGCACTGTCATGGCCGACTTTCATGTTTTCCGATCTTTCTGACTAGATCTATTTCAGAACCATGCAAGTAATGATCAAAGCAAAAATTCAAGGAGTTTTCAAGGAGTTTCGCTAAAATCGTAAAATTCAAGAGTTTTTTAAGTGCCCTTGAAAACGTGAATTAAATTCAAGGAGTTTTCAAAGAGTTTAAGGAGTAGCACGAACCTGGATTTTATCCTGTTTTATTCGATATCT